ACGCTCAGCTCCAAGGTGCGTCTGAGCATTCTGTATCAGGGCAGACCGACGACCACCATAGCCGTTGGGGATCCGTTGACGTTCCGTTTGGAGGCGCAGGATGGCTACAATCATGTGACGGACATCTTTGCCACCAATGTGGTGGCCAGGGATCCCTACTCCGGCCGCAGTATACAGCTCATCGATCGCTTTGGGTAAATATTTTTATATATGATATTCAATCATGCCTTGACTCCCGCCTGCCTCTAGCTGCCCGGTGGATCCGTATGTGTTCCCAGAGCTGGACAAGCTACGCGATGGCGACACACTGGAGGCCCGCTTCAATGCCTTCAAGATACCCGAATCCAATTTCTTAGTGTTTGAGGCCACGGTGCGCTCCTGCCGCGAAGGCTGCCAGCCGGCCTATTGTCCCGGTCCCGCAGGGCGCCAGGAGCCCTCCTTTGGACGCCGGCGACGCAGCTTGAACATAACCGACCTGCCCGAGCCACAGGCGCTCGAGAGCGTTGACGAGCTGGACACACAGGAGATCACGGTGGTCAACAGCACCACAGTCAGTGCTACGATGGGCGGAGAACAGTTCAATGCCACGCAGGAGAGCGAGAAGCCCAAGGAGAATGAGGAGCCCGAGCAAGTGCGCGAAATGATTGAGGTGCGTACGAACCGATTGATAAAGCCAAGCTCTAAGATGTTAACTTAACCAAATATTCCCCAGGTGTTTGAGACGCGCGAGGAAATCGAAAAGGAATCGTATCCACGCAAACTGGTCGCGCCCGTGGAAACTGTGTGCATGACGCCCGCCGAATATCACGGCCTAATTACGGCTATAATTCTGCTGATGATTCTGCTCTTTAGCATTACCTTGGTGGCAGGACTCGGCTACAGGTGAGCTAATCGATATGCAGGCGGGGTACACTTGGAGAAAAACCAAGTACCAAGATACCAAGAGAAATTGTTTACATCACAACGATTTTTTTAGAATGCTCCAAAATTTTAGTTTGAACTTCCCTTTTGGAAAACATTCTAATGAATCAAAATTTTGATTTCTGCGTTTTTTACTTAGTTTGAGAATATTCAAATACTTAATTTGAAGAAACAAACGCTATGAATTGTATCTCAAATTGTCTCTGAGTGTATCTGACATCTTTTCGAATTGAAGATTTAAATAATTAAATTTATACTCAGTTTAAGAATATTCAAATACCAAATTTGCAAAAGCAAATGTTCTGAATTTGATCTCAATTTTTCTCTGAGTGTAACTGAACCGATTCCTGACCCCTTTTGACAGACGCTACTGGAAATCGATATCAAAGAATCGTCTGGTGGATCGCAACTCGCCCATCCACTCGCTGGACCACTCGCACTCCTCGATACGCACCCACGAGCGCTTCTCCGAGATCGGACACATGCCCAATGCAGCAGGAGCAGTAGGAGGAGTAGGAGGAGGAGGAGTTGGTGCTGGCAGCAATCGGAGCACATCAAATCGCGCCTCGAACGCTTTTCGCACCAACATGTCCATGTTTGGCGGCTCATTACATAAGACTTTTGCCACAGGGTAAGTAGATCTGTCGCCCGGTTTGGGCTTTGAAGACCGGTCCAATTAATTTTAATCTATTCACAGCAATCTGGCGCGCATGTGCCAGCTGCCGGTTATAAATCCCATACGCACGGCCGGCAACACGAGCCACCAGTTTGAGGATCCCAGCGAGCCCATCTACACCGATCCCTCGCTCTTCGAGCGCTCCAGGTGAACATTTTAATTGCATAATTAAGCGCCGACTAATGCCTCGTTCTTGGCTCTAGGTACCCGAATGCCATTAGAATCGTACGCAATTGTAAATATTTATATATTTCGTTATTTTTTTTTTGTGTATTCTCTATTTGTGTTCCGTTTCTAATTGAATGTGCACTAGAGTGGCCTGCACAGGCAGAGCTGCGCCTTGTTGCAAATGCCATCACGCCCGCCAGCTATTTGGCATCTGGTGGAGCACCAGTCGCCCTGCAGAGCGCAGACGCCCGTAAATGTCGGCAAGTCGCCAACTGCAACTGGGAGTTAATCCATTAATCAATTATTTAACTAATCAACTGCACTTTTGTTCTGTGACTTACATGCTTGGGCCTGGACTAGCCAGCAGATTAACCACAAAGCCAGTGACAAGTATTTCATATTAAGATGCACGATTCTCGCGAGACAGCCACAGACTAAAGCCCCGCTCGGCTTCTGGCTGGCATGTGCTCCGATAAGGCTTATCAGCCTCACATTTTGTACACTACGCGCATCTACACTAACGCTGTGTGCTTGTCTCCATAAACAAGCGACATATTTATTAGATTGCTTTCAATATTCTATTCTGATTAATATGCCATTTCCTTTCACAGATCGCTGCGAAGTCTGACCATGGTCGCCGAGTCGGAAGATAATCAAGAGGTCTAAAACCCACGCACAAGGATATTTTGCTCGTCTTCTTGTGATTAGTTGTAAATAACCAAGCGAAAGCTGTTCGACAACATTTCAGTTTAAATTCGGCCCGATAAAGCAAGTAGCATTAGGGTCCTGCACGTGCATTCGGTTACCTCAGGTTACCTGAGGCTCAATATCTATCTGATATCCACATTAGACGTAAGCCCTCTTAAATCGAAGACAATCTATTTAAATTAACAACAACCCAAAAAAAAATACATAGCAAAACATATGCAAAATGTCAAACACACGTATTTCTACATAACTAAGATGCATATATATATATTAATAAATGCAATAAAACTTAAATTTATCCATACAACAATTTGTCTGTATTTATTTTCACAAGTCCTAATCTTCCTGGTCACCCGTTGCCAAGGTACAAGACCTATTGAAAGCGGCTCAAAATGTAACCTCAATCTACAAGAAACGACTCCGAAAACGCTGTGAGCCCTTAAAATGGGTTATGTAATATTTAACTAGATCGATATCATATCTCAAAGGTCACAAGATCACATCAAATTTGTATATCTAAGCTCTCATTGAGATTGTATAGATCAGAAGAGCTTAACTCCGAAAAGCCGGATTGGAGTCGAACCCGGCTAATTTCCTTTCTCAGCCAAAACTTTTAGCCCATCCAAAATATATATTTATATTTTAGGCTCAGGAATTTTAGCTCTCAGGCAGATTGTTTGCTGGAACGTGACTGCTTAAGGTTTCCGAAAAAAAGGGTTTATGTAAGAGCCCTTTTTTGTGTAAGTGCACATTCGTACAATATTTTTTATTTCTACGTGTATTGGCCGTAATCGGGGCACGGCTTTTTCAGCGTCTAGCCGAAAATTCGTGCCGCTTTGGGCAATGCAGTGAACGTGTTAAAAGACGCACCAGCACGAAATATTTCTAGGCGTAATTCTCGTAACTTTCGGCTACGTGTAAATATTAAAAACTAAAATAAACAATTGCTAACGAGCCGCTCAGAGATTGCCCAAGACACCTTACATGGGGTTACATGAATCGATCTCTAGCTATCCTACCCAATATCTTCGTTCAATAGCATATATTTATCAACTATGGCCTATAATCGGGCCAATATAGATTGGGTGACAATAATTACAATGCCAAAGGCATGCCAGATTAATCGGACCCAGTTGGGTTTTTTATCTGGCCGCATGGAAGCATTTTGCTTAATCATTGGACTTATTCTTGTTCCGGCATCGCCAAGCGCAGCGACATCGATCACGTTCACAATTTAAAACAATAACAAGGGAGAACGTTGAGAATATGCGCGACCGACTGCACAATACTCTGTTCGAGCTGTAATCAGAGTGTAAATATAAGTCGAGAATTGTCTAGGTAAGTCTAAGATGTAACCCGGACAGAAATATGGATGGCCGGACAGATATGTAAACGGACGGTTGGGCGGACTGATGATGTACGGACGGACAGATAGAAAAATGGACGGACGGACGGATGGATAGATTGACGGATCGACGGAAGAGCAGATGTATAGATGAATGGACAGATAGGTAAATGGATGCACGGACGGACTGATGGAAACATGAATGGACGGACAGATGGATGAACGAATAAATGAACGACGGTTGAAAGGATAGCTAAACGGACAGACGGGCAGAAGGAAGGACGGAGGAATCGGCAAAAGGACAGCTGCACAAATTGACGGACGGACGGATAAATGAATTGATGGACGGACAGATGGACGAACGGATAGATCGACGGAGAAGCAGAAGGATAAACAGATGCACGGGTAGCCAAACGCGCAGATGAAAGGACCGACGTATTGACAAAAGGACAAATGGCTGAACTGACAGATGAACGAACGGACAGTTGAAAGAACGGACGGACAGATGGATGAACGGACGGATAAGCGTTCGCACAGCAAGATGCTCGTTGCAAATAACAAATATACCCTTTTTCTGTGAAGAAACAGTGTATAATTACTCATGCTATGCGCGCTATGGCAGAAAAAGAAAGCGTCAAGCAAATTGCCGCAACGGAAGCCAAAGCCAGCGGCAAGTGCCATCTCACTCTGGGCTATTAGTACGGGTCTTGGGTCATGTATTTTGGGTGTGTTTTGCAGCTTCTCTTCCGGTGTCGCTGCGCACGTGGCGTGCGCTCATGAATTGGCTTAGACGAAGTGAGAATATGATTTTGTTGTTGTTGCTGTTCTGTTGATTCTTTTTTATTACAGCGACGGCGACAGCAACTGCAGCAGCAGCGCTGCGTCTAGTTCTTATACATAAATCACGCATCAGCACAATTGGCATTTCAATTATGCAACATTCTTGGAGCCAAGAAAGTGCATTTATACGCCGCGAGCCCAACGTAAACGACAAGTAAGAAACGAAGCGCGAACGCGATCACAGCAAAGGACACGGGCCAGAAAGTGCGTGAAGCCAAGTGTTTAACTAATGTGCTGCCAAAAAAAGTGAAACCGAAACCGACTGCTCAAATCAAATAAATATATATAGACACAGATCGATTGATAGATTGCGTGACCCTCAAGTGTCTAGTGGGGACTAACATGACGAACTGCATCTGGCTGCTGGCCCTTGTGGTCGCGATCAATGCCCGCTCGCTGCACGTGCCGCATGGATACGGTGGTGGCTTGCCACCGCCGCCGCCGCCTCCACCTCATCTGTTGCCCAATCCCTACTATGCACAGCCGTACGGCTATCCGCCTGCGCCGGCCTATGGCTATGGCTATCAGCCGCAGCCGCTCCTCTACAGTCCGCCCGGCAGCTACTATGACAGCATGTACGGCATACGCAAGCCCTTGCCCGGCGGTGGCAATCCCGTAGCTGTGGACTATGTAGGTTTACTAAATTGAAACGAGTTCAACGAGTTTATTTGTGTTTTCCCTTTATAAAGAACAATCGCTGCTCGAGGAATTACGTGGGCATCAAGCCGCATCCGGATCAGCAGCAATACTATTATGTCTGTCGGCCCAACTGTGTCATCTTTAGCAAATGCCCCAACCTGGAGGTAAGCTACAGTCAACCAGCTTAAGGCAATGGTCAATACTCAACTGCCTCTTCCCCGCCCAGAAATTCAGCTCAAGTACAGGTCGTTGCGTCGAGCGCGTGCATCCCGATTATCCGCCCATTTGCCGGAAGGAGGGTCGCTTCCCCTACCACCACGACTGCAAGATCTATTACAAGTGCGACGAGCGTTTGATGCCACATTTGTACAGCTGCCCCTCTGGCACCATATTTTCACCACTGGCGAGCAAATGCATACCCGGCGATGAGTGTCCTTCGACGGAGATCTCCAACAGCGGCAGCTATATACCAGAGAACTGTGAGCTCAAGTTTCCCGAGTGCACAGCTGAGGGCACCTTTAGATCTCCCAAGGACTGTGCATTGTACTACACCTGCAAGCTGCAGGCCAGCGGAAACTATTTGCAAACGCGTTTCAAGTAGGTCACCGAACACGGCAGTAAGATTCATTCAAAGTAACTAATTTCCTTCCATAGATGTCCTGGCAGCAACAGCTTCGATCAGAAACGCAAAATTTGCCGACCACATCGTGAAGTCGACTGCCACGCCTACCAGCCCATCGCAGACATTGGACCCTACGCACCAATGACTCCCTACTATCCGTATGTCTCCGAGGCGGACTTTGACACAGCGCCAGAGGAAAAGGTACCACAGCAGCCAGAAGCCGGCGCTTTGTCCACGGAATCTAAAGTGGGCAACATTCGGGAGCCTGAAGAAACCGTTGTTGTTATTCTGCCCAAGACGACAACAACAACAACAACCGTTGCGACTCCTCCTAAATATCAAGACTATCCGTCTTATCCTTCGTATCCTTCTTACCCCTCGTATCTCTCCTACCCCAACTATAACTATGGCGACCCGCATTTCGACTCCGAAGCGCTGGTCAAGGAAAACCTAGAGCTGGAATCACCGGTAAATATAGTTATTATACCAACAACTCCGAAATATTCATATAATAAGCACACCTATTCCGCCTATCAGTCAACCGGTTCTTCCGAAGCTCCGACCACAACTCCGAGCCCAACTCGTACACACACAAGTACAAAAGCCCCGACGGTGGCACATGAACCTGCCTTCAAAAGTATGATTCAGAAAAAAATTGTTATACTGCCAACGAAATGCCCAACCAACGAGAAATCGACCACTGAGGAACCTATTACCACCAGCACAAAGACAACTGCAACTCCCAAGTCAACAACAACAAACAATCCCACAACAACCGCAAAACCAACAACTAACACTCCGAAGCCTACAACATCTACAGCTAGACCAACAACAACTTCACCCAAGCCAACAACAGCCAGTACTCCCACAACTCCGAAACTAACCAATACAACTCCTAAACAAACAACTAGCACAAGGACAACAACTCCGAAAGTAACTACTACAACTCGTCAACCTACAACAAAAAGCACACCAAAAGTAACAACTGCTAGACCAACTACAACAACTTCGCAGCCAACAACAACTAGAGCTCCAACAACTCTGATAACAACTATTTCAACTGAACCAACAACAACCAAAATAACTACAAGACCAACTACGATAACAACTTCTAAGCTGACAACAGCTAGCAAGGCAACATCGACATCAAAACGTTCCACTTTAACTCCTAAGCCAACAGCAACTAGCAATCCCACAACAACTGGGAAACCAATAACTACGACTGCAAAGCCTACAACTTCTACAGCAACAACGGGTAGACCAACAACACCCAAGCCAACAACAACTAGTACTACCAAACCAACCACATCTGGCACACATTCAACAACATTTAAACCAACAAGTTCAACTTCCAAGCCAACAACAACTAGCGCTCCGACAACAACATCAAGCACCCCCACGACTTCGAAGCCAACCGCAACCCCCAAGCCGACAACAACTAGCAGTGCGACAGCCACCTCTAAGCCAACAACAACTGCTGGACAAACAGCAACAAGCACTCCAACAACATCAACAACTCGTAAACCAATAACTAATAGCCCCACAACTCCCAAACCAACATCTGGCAACCCCACGACTCTGAAACCAATCACTACAACTCCCAAGCCAACAACTACCGGGCAAACGGCTACAAGCACTCCAGCAACTCCTAAATCAACAACAGGCAGTCCCACAACGACTCCTAAGCCAATAACTACAACTCCTAAATCAACATCTGGCACCCCCACGACTCTGAAACCAATTACTACAACTCCTAAACCAACATCTGGAAACCCCACGACTCCGAAACCAACCACTACAACTCCTAAACCAAAAACAACTGCCGGACAAACGGCCACAAGCACTCCAGCAACTCCTAAATCAACAACAGGCAGTCCCACAACGACTCCTAAGCCAATAACTACAACTCCTAAACCAACAGCTGGCACCCCCACGACTCTGAAACCAATTACTACAACTCCTAAACCAGCATCTGGCACCCCCACGACTTCGAAGCCAACCTCAACCTCAAAACCAACGACAATTAGCGGTCCGACAACAACTACCCTTAAGCCAACAACTACTGTTACAGTTGTGCCAACCTCTGGCACCTCCACGACTCCGAAACCAGCCACTTCAACTCCTAAGCCAACCACTGTGACATCCACAACTACGCTGCAACCAAGCACTACCCCTAAGCCGACATCAGCTAGTGCTCCGACAACAGCAACCCCAAAGCCAGCAACAACTGCTGGGCAAACGGCCACAAGCCCTCCTACAACATTAACAACTCCTAAACAAACCTCTGGCGCGCCCACGACTCTGAAACCAGCCACTACGACTCCTAAACCAACCACTGTGACAACCCCAACCACTCCGAAGCCAAACACAACCCCCAAGCCGACAACAATTAGCATTCCGACAACAGCAACCCCTAAGCCAACAACAACTGCCGGACAAACGGCAACAAGCACTCCAACAACATCAACAACTCCTAAACCAACAACTAATAGCCCCACAACGACTGCGAAACCAGCCACTACAACTCAAAAGCCATCCTCTGCCATCCCCACGACTCCAAGACCAACCACCACAACTCCTACATCTTCCTCTGACACCCCCACAACTCCGAAACCAATCACTACAACTACTAAACCAACATCAGGCACCTCCACGACTCCAAAACCAGCCACTACAACTTTTAAACCAGCTTCTGACACCCCCACAACTCCGAAACAAGTAACTTCAACTCCCAAACCAACCTCTGCTACCCCCACGACTCCGAGACCAACCACCACAACTCCTAAAGTATCCTCTGAACCCCCTACAACTCCGAAACCAGTCACTACAACTCCTAAACCAACATCTGGCACCTCCACAACTCCGAAACCAGCCACGACAACACCTAAGCCGACCTCTGGCACGTCTTCGTCTCCGAAACCAGACACTACAACTCCCAAGTCAACAACAATTAGCACTGCAAGTTCTACAACAACTCGGAGACCAACCACCACAACTCCGAAACCAACAGCTTCGATAGCGACAACAGCAAAACCAACCACCCAGCCGCCAACACCAAGCACAACGACAACTTCCGGCCAGGACACCACCGTGGCAACTGCAACCAGCACCAAGGTGCCACCTTGTGCGACTGAAGGTAAGTCCTAAAAATATAATTACAGCATAATACACTAGCAGGTCTTCGTAAGTTGCTTACACCAAATGAAACACTCAACCACACCCAACCCCAACTGCTTTACAGATACAAACACATGCACACCACAACTACAACAACAAAAACAACAACTCAACAACATAAACAAATCGAGCAGAAATCTGTTGATCGGAGAAAGCGAGCCACAATCCTCGCAGCTATCACAAAATTTAGTTTCCAGCGAGATTAGCCTCGATTATATGAACGATGAGGCCGTGCCGGAAGTGGAAGGGCATGTTGATAGCACCACAGCCAAATGGACAACGGAGCGACCACTAAAGAAACCGTCTACAATGTCTAGCTTGGCCGCGGCACATATACTCCAAAAGCTATTCAAGGTGATATCTACAACAACCGCAGCGCCAATAACCAGAGTCACGTTTGCACAGATGGCCAGGCATAATCTGGCCACATCCAAGCCATTCATAGCCGAGTCGCTGAGGCAGTCCATCAAGCAGCTGGCGGCGAACAAAAGCGAACCAACAAAGCCAACAAATACCAGCAAAGATACCGAAGATTCCGAGTACTACGATAGCGAATATGATACGGATGAGCTGGAGAATGTGCTCGATAAAGATAATCTCAAGAATACCAAGCTACCTGTTGCCAAGACGCCAACAATCGCAACAACAACGACTACGATGTCGACAACTGGCACAAGATCAGTTGAGAGCACAACCAGAGCCATGCCCATCCGCACAAATGCTGTCATGGATCTGCTGGAAACCAGCTCTAGCGTGCCTGTACCGGCCATAGTCAATGCCAGCATCTCCAAGGCAAATCTGACTGGCGATGCTGACTACTCCGACAACTATGTGGATTCGGACTATGCCAATGATGAGCCCGTCCCTGAGCTAGATTTGAATGCCCACAAGAACACGCTAATTCAACTGCTCAAGCAAAAGCTAATCTTGGCAAGCACTACCGCTGCGCCCAGCAGCAGCACGACAGCCAGCTCCAGAGTTCCCGACTTGGCCAGCGAAAAGCCCGCTGCGGCTAATGAAATTCCAGGTACGACCAGAGACGTAAGTGCGCCAAAGAGCTTATTGATGAGTCTGCTGAGGCAGAAGCTAAGCCGCATGGCGCTGGTCAAAAAGGCCACAGAGCAAATGGCAACAAGCACCACCTCAGCACCCGACACGCAGAGCACAGCGCGGATCACAACGACCAGCAGCTCGAATGCAAACGGTAGCAGCAACTCGGAATACTATGATGATGAGGATTACGACTATGTTAACGATGCGGAGGGCACGGCAGCAGCAATTAATCAGGATGCACTTAGCACAGCAACAGCCAAGCGGCACTCCATACACCCATCGCTTAGTTTGCACGCACAGAAGCCGGGCCAAGCGTCGCCACAGGTAAGCGGCGACGGGTTAACGAGCGAGGCCAAGACGCCACAAGTAGAAAGATTTGCATCCAAGACACAAAGTGTCCCGCTGCCGAAAGCCGCATTTCTTAGGCAATCGGCCAATGAGGTTAGCGAAAGGTCAAGGCATAAATCAAAGAGTGAGGCAGACGACACCAAGCCACGCACAACAAATACACGCAGAGAAATACAGCAGTCGCTATCAAACAACAGCACAATAAAACCAAATACAACAATAAAACCAACTACAACAACAACAACAACAACAAGCACAACAACAATCGCTCCAACCAGCAGCACACAGTCAACAGCAGCTGCAGCAGCCACACGCCAAGAGATCCTCACGGTGAACAAAAAGCCGTGGCTGCTGCAAGCCCAGAATCAAAGTGTACACCTAGCGCCGCTACAAATGGCCAGCCATAACCCAGTGACTCATACGAATCGTTCATTATTAGAGTATACGACAGACGACACAGACACGGAAAAGGTGCCCGAACTCATACTGAAGGTATATGAGCCCATCGATGTGAAGGTCGTCTTCTGTCCCCGAAATTGCGATGAACAACACGATCATAAATATGGTAAGCACTTATAACTAAATGATTGATATTATATGAAATTGATATATATATATGAAATTTGTTTACGCACTCACCAGACCCAGCTGATAATTATAAGTCGAATTGTACGAGCGGTTGTGATACGCCCAATCCTAAAACCAATCACAGCGTAGATTTATGGTGGAAGCCGCTTAAGCTCAGCGACACGGCTGGTTTCCAGACAATAACGTAGATAGTTGAAGTACTTAATATGGCTATACAACATTAACTAAATACTAAACTAAACCTGCATGCAGATATAGACATATTTACATATACGTAATCGTGTACACTTTAATAAACATTATGAATAAATTACAACTTTTGTTTTAATTTAACTTGGAAAAGTATACTAGGTATACACGGACATATACCATACACAGGAATTCCTTTAAAAAAAAAATATATATATATATATGCTTGATAAATTACATTAAACTTTTAACTTAAAATCAAACTGAATGTTGGTCAATTAAAGTTCATGACTAGCACAGATGGAAAGTGTGGCTTAAACGACTTTTCAAATGCCATGGTGGGTTCACGACCAAACGGACAACTTAAAAACTGTTTTGCATTAACTTAATGATTAATCTATGATCAACTTAAATTCAAATCTAATCTATACACTATGTACAAGCGACCCTTTTAATACTGAACGCCCGCCTAATCGTCAAAGAAGAGTATTTCTAATATTCTTTTTTGCACATTTTTTCGACGATCCTTGTTCATTTTAAGCAGCTCCGTGGTTACTAGCTCGCCCAGCAAATGCTCCGAGGAGCGCTGTATGCTGGGCGGATTTGGAGGCGTTTGGAATTTGCCAAAGTTGGAGGCATGCGAAGAGCCTGCTTGCTGGGGCAGCTGCTGGTAAAGCTGGAAGAGGAAATCTGTATTCGATGGAAACATGTTTTGATGTTGTTGTTGCTGCTGCTGTTGCTGCTGCTGCTGCTGCAGTTGCTGCTGCTGATTATTATTGTTATTGTTGTTGCTATTGACACCTCCATTTGCCGTGCTGCGCTGCATGTTAACCGTATTGTTATAGTGATTGTCGTGCTGCAACATGCTCTGTGACTCCTTTAAGTCATTGCTATTGTCATCCGAATCCTCGTCGCTGTCGTGTCCAAAATATCCATTTGCATTGGACATGCCGCCACCATTGCTGGAATGTTGGCCATGGCTGGCGCCATTTGAGGTCAGCTGCACGCGCGGCTTCTTTGTGTGATAGTTGCTCGACGTGGAGGAATGCAAATCGTCGTTGGACTTATGACTAAAGGCATGCGCTTGCATCTGTAAGCTGTTGGCCGTTCCCGTCACACTGGATGAGGAATGTACCGCTGGCTGCTGAGCGGCTGGCACAGGCTGTTCCTCCTGCCCGCCAGCCCCTACAATGCCTGTCAGCGGCGATGACAGCGGCGACTTCATGGACGAAGACGTTGAGGTGAGGCCGCCAGTGCTACCGGCGCTATTTTGTGCGGCATTTAAGCCCACGGTGCTGTCGCGATACGGCTCTTGGTAGCCCTGCGAGGAGTCGGCCATGACGGCGGCCACAGCAGCGGCCTGTTGCTGCTGCATTTGTGACTGTGAAATGTGCTGCAGCTGCTGCGATGCCACCGCGGCAGCGAAGTCTCTAAATATCTCCGCCTCAATCTTAACCTGCCCATTAACGTTCTCCAGCGCCGATGCAGCAGCTGTACTGAGCGCATTCATTGTATGCTTCTGATCCGTCGGTTGCTGATGCTGGTGGTAATGATGATTCTGAGCGGCGCCAGCGCCCGCGAAATGCGACATATTCTTGTGTGAGCTATTCGACTTGGAGTCCACATTATATTCACTGTAATTGGAGCTGTTTGCCGACTGCGGCGAGGTCAGAAAGTTGGGCACATTGCGGTAGGACTTGCGCGGCTGTATGTGCTGGTCCAGAAATTTCATTTTCTCCAAATACGGACGTGACAGGTGCTCGTAAACAGGTGGATCGCCCTGTTTGCGCTGTGACACATATCGCTCGCGCAAATATTTCCAGCGCTTCTTACACGTTTCCACTGCCAAGCAAACAATATTGTTTATCAAGTTTACTTAGCTAATTAGCGCAAATTGTGTTGAGACTTACCGTCTGTGCAGAGCTTCAGTGCGATGAGCTGCCAGGCCTCGTCCTTGGTTTCGTACTTGCCGCCGCTGACGCTGCCGTTTAGATAATACTTTTGGCGATTGTAGATGACGCCGTGCTGAGCCACTTCATCAATTAGTTGCTCATCCATCATGATGTACATAAATTACGTGAAAAAAATCACGGCTTTTTTTGTTTGCCTGGGCTCCAGTTGTTTCGGCGATTTAGGGATGAGCAACAGCGTTGAGCTACTATTGATTAAAGTATCGAAGGTCACAACAATCGATACATTATCGTGCAACACTAATGACAGTATATAAATTATGTATTTTCGTTGGTATTTGTAGAAATTTTCATTTACTTCTTCTGATTCGTACAACGGTCACACTTACCAGTCGCACAAGTTCTTTCGACTTTCGACAAGAAAACATTGGTGTCAAGTGCGCAATAATTAAACATTTTTTAAAAGAAATCGAGCGTAAACTGAAATTGTTAACGAATTTCAGTGCTGCTGCTTTAAATTATTCAAAAACTCACTAGCCGAGTGCTGAATGAAATTAAGAATAGAACATAGTCACATTTATCGAGACTGTTTAAATAACGCCGCAAAAAATTAAATTGTATCAAATAGTTGAACTTAACATGTTCAAGCTAGCACAGAAGTTGCTGCCACAGCAGCATCAGCGGCTTCTACAATGTTCCGCCGTAATGCGTCGGTTTATTTCCACGAGCGATGAAGTCAAATCTGTAGACACAATAAATGGTTTGCCGACGGAATTGGTCAATGAGCAGAAATTGAAGAAAACAACCAGGTTTGTATGAGTTACCGTTACCCCAGTTGTTTACATTACAAGTCCGCAGGGGGGTGGGCCGATGCCTAAAGTGTGAAAGTGTGCGGTCACGTAGGCCACAAACAGCTGTTGCCGCAGTTTCCAAGCAGAGTTTCTAGCATATTCATTTAAAATGGGAAAAAAAGGTATACTGTTTTTTTTAGAAATTTGTGTGAGAGGAGGAAGGAAGCATCATATCATACGATACGACGAGATGGGTCGAAATAGCCAGAGTATAAAGATCGAACTATGAAAACCAAAGTTAATCAAGAGGAAGCACTCCCGCTGCGTAAAAACGTAGCAAGCGTATGTGTATGTGTGACAGTATGCTTGAATATGTGTGTGTGGGTGTACTTGTATGTGTGCGTGAGGATGCCTGTATGTGTGTTTTCGTATGTATGCATAGCGGTAAACTAGAATATTTGTGCATTCGGAGACTTGGCGCTGGGTTCAGGGTATTTCGCAGTCGGTTACTCCCCACCAATCATGTCGTACTTGTTAAATAATGAACTTTATTTTTGTTTTGGTTTCCCGTTGCAGAACTTTATCTACACTACAAAATCATTCGGTGCCCATAGCAGCGCGCGTCACAGTCTCAAAAGATGAGAGTCGCGACTTTATGGCCGTGTTTCCTGGTAAGCTGCGCATTTAGTTGTTGTTTAATTAGCATAATAATACTAAACAAATGCATATATGTATATATTATCATATTCTAAGACGTAGTGCGTGACCTCACCAATGCGACAAAGGCGTACAATTGCAGCGATGCCGCCAAATGGTTTGCCCAGGTCTTGCAATACAATGTGCCGCGTGGCAAGAAGAACCGTGGCATATTGACGGTGCTCACCTACAAGAACCTGGTGCCCGCCGAGGAACTAACGCCTGAGAACATTAAACTGGCCCAATACCTGGGCTGGTGCGTAGAAATGGTAAGTCTTAAAGTACGGAATAGAGTTGAGCATATTCTAACTATAGTTGTCTCTTGCAGCTCCAAAGTTTCTTTATTATATCGGATGATGTTATGGACAACAGCACAACAAGACGCGGCCAAAAGTGCTGGCACAAGGTGGAGAATGTCGGCCTGACAGCCATCAACGATGCCCTCATGATAGAGAACGCCATGTATGCCATACTCAAGCAACACTTCAGCCACCTGGACTGCTATGTGGCTTTGATGGAGCTGTTCCATGAGATCGCGTACATAACAACCTGTGGCCAATCGCTGGACTTGCTCAATTCACACAAGCGCGTGTCGGAGTTTACCATGGAAAACTACAAAGCAATTGTCGATAATAAAACTGCCTACTACTCCTTCTACCTGCCCTTTGCACTGGCAATGCATTTAGCCGGGTGCGTGTTGCCGTTATTCCTTTTGAATTTTATAAATAATAATTGTTTCCTTGTTGCAGCTACAAAGATGCCGAGGCATTTAGACAGTCCAAGACCATATTGCTTGAAATGGGTCACTTTTTCCAGGTGCAAGACGACTTCCTCGACTGCTTTGGCAATCCAGAGGTCACCGGCAAAATAGGCACCGATATACAGGACAACAAGTGCTCCTGGCTCGCTGTGGTGGCCATGCAGCGCGCCAATGCCGAGCAAAGGCAAATTATGATAGACTGTTATGGACAAAATGGTGCGTAAACGAGTATCGAAACCGGACTGCAACTAAATTCTATTGTTCTCGTAGATCCACTTAAGGTAGAGCGAGTTAAGGAGCTGTATAAGGAGCTCAGCTTGCCCTCTACATATGCCATTTTCGAGGAGGAGTCCTACAATATGATCAAAACGCACATACAGCAAACATCTCGGGGCGTGCCGCATCAGACCTTCTTGCAGATACTTAACAAAATCTATCAACGGGACTCGTAAACTTAATACAATAACATCTAATACATACATAAGTGGGTGTGACTAAAATAATATTGTAGTATAGTATAGTATTTGACTGGCTTGTGTGCATGTATGTGTAATTTGGTATATTCAATAAGTACAACAGAGATTTTTTACTGTGCAACTCACGGTTGTTCGTCACTTTTAATCAATCATCTGTAAAATCGAAGGGTGCGAATAGCTTACGAAATTCCTCGACATTAGCTTTCTCCTCCTCATTGTCCAGCAGACAATCCTTCCAGTTGACCTTCTCGTCACAATTCAACAAATTCTCCGAACAGAAAACGTCCCTATAAACAATTTCAATTTGTTGATTGTTAGTAGAACATTAAACTCATGCTACGAACCTAGCGAAGTGCAGCGGAAAATGTTTCATTTGTCGCGTTATCAATGTGCTGTCGTCGGGCAGTTCTGCTAGAAAATATGGACCCATTTCTGGCAACATTTTTGCTGAAGTCAAGGCCGGCAACGTCTCAAATTCTAACTTAAACTCCTCAGCTTTGTCCTTAAAGCAATTAGATACAAATAACGTTATTTTAATTGAAGTATATAAATAAATAAAACGTATGCAGCATACTTCAAAACTGTGTTTTATCTTCCACGAATAGCCCTCCTCAAAGGCCACGGCATCGATAATCAGATGTGAGGTCTTGTAATGACGCTCCGTAAAGCACACAACTTGTCCCAGACTCTTGAAGAGCTTGCGCAATGCTGTCTTGAATTTATCCAGCTCTTCCCAATCCTCAGTGCTCAATTGTGCTGCGCAGGGTATATGTTTGGTGGACAATATCAAGACATGATGGCTATTAATAGGTCCTTTGGCCAAGGCCAGATAAAAACGCTCGCCTACTGTGATAATCAGATGCTTCTCCACCTTCTCCGAGGACAAGCAGAACCAGCAATTGTCTGAAAGAGTGGAAAAACAAATATGTAAATCAATCAAGCAAGGATTTATATAAACCAACCCTGATCAATTTGCATTATCCGTGGCCGCTTATCGCGATTTCCACCCTCGCTGTGCCGCTTGCGATTACCGCTCGAGTCCATGTCATAAAAGTACTGTCGACTTTCCGACTAAAGCATGCAAATAATTATCTATTTAGAGTATTAATTATAGTGTACTCTCATGCTTACCGTCTCATTTTTGTTTACAATGCCAACCATGTCCAGGCCAATAAAGGGGCAGGGTATTTCGTTGGTCGTCTTCTGCACGAGATCTAGTAAACGCGCCTTATCCACAGGCTTCAGGCTGAGCGCATATATATATTTGGCCTTTGCGGCGTTGCCGACATCCGCCAGCGAGATAAACCGCGTGCACAGCTCGAACTGTGTGGTCTCATCTTTGGGTATGCGAAACGGCGGACTCTCATAGTAGGTGCCATTGATGGCGCAGAAATGATAACGTGGTTTGATCTCGCGGCACAGAAACGAGATCAACTTGGAAGCCTTTGCCTAGAATGTGCATTGTAGCGAACTTATTAAACAGTCTGCACCCTAAGTGCCTGCTACTTACGTTCTCCCCCTCCTGCAGGCCGTAGGGCCATTGGGACGTCAGCAGCACATCGACACCTCTGTAGTCCGTCGCACAGTTTTTTGAGACCAGGCAGGAGTTGCGCACAGCCTGCACATCGGCTTTGTTGAACTCATGCTCGCCAGCCACATTGCCTGCTGCCTCCACGCCACTCAAATAGGCTATTTTGACACCGCTCGTCAGCGTATAAACTCCACGCTTGCCCAGATAGGTCAGATTCGTGCAGACTTCGCCGTCCACCAAATCCTTGTAGTGCTGCCTGTCTTCCTCCTTATTGGGTCCCAGTATGTAAGTGGGAACCGTAACTGTGTGACACACAAGTAGAACAAATTACCACCACGATTATTTAATTTAGAAACCCACTCTAATTACTGTGCTTGAATCCATTTTTATAGGCAATCAGATCTTCGTTTTGTTTTTCGGCGCCAAAAAAGTCGCCGACACAGCACAAAATCTCAAATGGTCCGGCTTTTTTGTTGACCTGCTCCACTCTGCTAAAAAGCTGCTTGAAGCGACCGCGCACATCGCCCACAACTAAACTGCAATTGCAATTTTAATTAATTACTGCATTTAACAAATATAAACGTTTTGTTTATAGCTTATCTACATTTTAGCGTTGACGTCCATCTGCTTTTATGCTTCTTCTTGCTTTAATGCGATAGTTGCGCATCTCAAACGATGGCAATAACAGCTGATGTGATAACAGCGAATTAACATAGAGTGGAGATTTCTGTTAAGCGCAGGATGTAAAAAAAACCGTTGCGGATTTAAATTTTCAAATTACCATTAATCATAAACATGTGTGGTTATTTGCACTTATCACCTTCAAAACGTGACACATATGTAAATCCAAAAAAAAAACGCAGGTAATTGTACTTCCTCTATTTCAGTTCGAAAATTGCTGTTAAATTGAGCAGGTGATATAGGTTCTCTATTGAAAACGCATATGTTTAATGAAACTTTAACCTGTCCGTTTTTTCGATGTCAACGTTCCAAAATATGGTATTAGATATGACATTGGCCCCAAATAGCATCCAATTGCAACAATGAACCTGGCCAAAGCTATTTGTTCTGCGTGGCTGACGCTATTAACTAGTTTCCCAGTCTTTCGATTCATGTTCTAGCATGAGGCATATAAAAACCTTTGTTTGTCCAAACAATATTATCAGTTTACTTGGACTAGCAGCGAGTAGCATACAATTTGGAAGCAATGTGGAGTAGCAAACATTTTCTGGCATTTATTCTAGTTGGATTGGCATATGACCCCTTTGTGCTTGGCCAGAATATTGATTGCCAGCGGCCTCCTCAGCTAGTGGTAAGTCAATAAATGAAGTTGTTTAAACATTTTGCTGCATATTCTGCAAATATTAGGATCCTGCTCTTTGTTGTCGGGATGGAGGCCGAGACCAGATCGCCGAGAAATGCGCCGAGCAAGTTGTTGGAACACCAAATGGACAACAAAATAATGGACCGCCTTCCATTGATTCGGCAACCGTCAGTATACAAATCCTGCCGATTTAATTCGATATAATAGCAAAGTTCGATCCACAGTGCTTGGCTGACTGCATCCTGACAACGGCGCAATATAAGCAGGAGCCAAAGACGCTCAACTTGCAAGTGATACGCAAGGATCTGTCCATGAAATTCTCCAATGATACGGCATATGTGGAGGCCATGACAGCAGCGTTTACCAAATGTGAGCCACAGGCCCAGCGAAGATTGGCGGCGATTCAGCAATTTAATCCGAAGCAGCCCAAGTGTAGTCCTTTTGCCGCTATTGTGCTAGGCTGCACATACATGGAATACTTTAAGAATTGTCCAGCCCAGCGCTGGACACAGAGCGCAGAGTGTGAGTTGGCTAAGACTTTTGTCACTCAATGCGGCTTGGGTGCTTAAAAATTAATACGTCATTTTATGATATGTTAAGTTCAAATTGCGCTACCATTTAAGTGTGTACATAATAAAGTTTTTACATTTTGCTAAACGATAACAGCGTTAATCGATAACAGCAATGCAGCTCTGTATTGGCTCAAGCCGACGACACAGCCCTGTCATTGTTTTGCTTAAGTGTATGCGCGTAACTGTGATTGCGCGGCCGCGGCTTTTAAAAACATTTTAGTTTCATTTTGCTTAAATATGGCTTTCGATGAACAGATAACAGGGTTTCGCGCATGGGCCACCAGTCTTGGCTGTCCGCCCAACGCCCTGCCCAGCGAGGAGGCGCTAAAATCGTAAGTTCCACGATTATTTACAAATATTTTCTAAACCGCCATTTTTGTTCGTTTTCAGCATATTTAAATCGCGTCAAAATCAGCTTTTTGTGCAAATTCAGTCGCGCGTTCAACCGCGCCAGCATGTGCAAGCGGTGCGCGAGAATCTACTCATAGCGCAGGTGCAACAGCACAAGGGCAAGGTGGTGCCCGCCTGTGGGCGCAGCTTTCTGCCGCGCCAGCTGCAAATCCATCTGAAAATGCAGGATCTGCAGAAGGACAAGGAGAAATCGGAGCTGCGCCTAGCGGAGAACAAAAAGGAATATGATAGCCTGGCCGCGTCCATTAAAATTAAGAGTAAGTAAGCCACTCGAGGGTGTACACAAACTAATATGCCCATCTCGCCCATAGATATACAGACAATTAGCGCCACGCACAAAGAGCAATTGCATCGGTCCAGATGCCATATACTGCAGCTCAAGCTGGAGTCACTTACTAAAAACTACGAACAGGAGCTGCAAAACAAGGTCCAAATTCTGGCCACAATGCCCGTCAAGCTGAGCAATAAGAATGCCAGTGAAAAGCTTGCCAGCAAGGCCGTGGAGCAGGCGCTCAAGGAGCTGGAACACTTTTACAACATCTGCAATGCCGAGGGCAACAGTAGCCAACAGCTGACCGAGGCCAAGCTGCGGCTGTGGTCACAAATGCGCGACATCTTTGCCAACACGCCCAACGTGCTGCTCTTCAATGCGATCATGCGGCTCAAGGAGGAGCAACTGCAGCACGTAATGCAACTGAACAAGAGCAACCACACCCTGGACGCAACGGGCAGTGTGGCGCTATCCAAGCCGCCCTTGGATAACTTTCATGTGAAGCTGCTCAAAACCAAGGCGGAGCTGCTCGGCCTTGTGGCCAAGCATTTGTGTGCTCAGAACGAAGTGGCTCAGCTGGAGGAGCGTTTCGCCGCGGCCTATGGCACATTTGTGGACGAGCTGCAGAGGAAGGTGAACAACTTCAATGGCATCACCAGCAGCGCCGATGACGGTGACCACGACGACGCCAGCGAGGAAATCATCTCCGATTTTATACTGCAATATAATATGCGCAATTTTAATCGGGCGCGCAACGATTATCTGACCGAGCAGATCGAGCAGCTGCGCCTGGAGCTGGAAGCGGGCGCCAAACAACTGGAAAATCACGAGCTGCTGCTGGGCTCCATCAAGCAGATGTATGGCGAAATCAATACATCCGTTAATCGCATACAGCACGACATGCTGCAGCTGTCGCAGATCAAAGAGAAAATCCTCTACTCGAAGAATATGCTGAGGAACATGCTGGACGACATGCAGGTGGCCACACAGCAACAGAACTCCAAGTCGCATTTGTTTAGCACCAAATTGAAGGTGGGCAACATGTCGTTCATGGGCATGGAGAGCTTCAGCCTGGCCAACGATAGCATGTTCTCCAGCACCAAGCTAGATATCGATTCCAGCCCCTTGGACACCACGCTGCGTCGCAGTTTCGACAATACAACACTAATGCCCGGCTGCACTACGTCCACGCCGTTGATGCCGCCAGCCACCAGCACTGGCACCTCGCTGCCGTGTCATCTGCTCGAGCTGAACACATTCGCCGAAATGCCGCTCGAGAAATTTAGCTGTGTGCCGCCTGCCTGGTATGACTGCTCCTACATATATATTCGTGTGTCTGTCTGCCTGTTCACTAGTTTTGTTTTTGCAGCGCCTTTTTGCTGTCGGCCAATCCGCTCATCGTGGAGTCACAGGAATTGGCCACCACCATGCAATTGGCGCCCGGCCATTTGCTAACGCCCCAGGGCGCCCTGCAGGAAGTACGTAAACGCATTTTGTGGGCGTCGGCAATTGCCGCGCACACGTCTGACATGAAATTGAATTTGGAGACGTTAATTGGTAAGCTCAGCATCTGCCCGGCATCCGCCTACCAGCTCCTTGCAGCCTCTATTTCATTTCCGCTTCCATTCCACACACAGTTGATCCGCACGATTTGAAGTTGAAGGCGCGTCGCCAGCACGAGGAAATCGTACAGCTGCTGGATAACATTGAGTCTCTGGGCGACAAGACGCAGCATCAGCTGCACAGGATCGAGCGCATCTTTCGCTTCATAGTGGACAATCCGCTGCGCCAGTATGTGCCGCCCAGCAAACGCTTTAACAACGCCAACTTTGCGGTCTACGAATCGGAATTCAATCTATATTATCGCATAGCCACAGCGGGAGGTTCCATTAAGTCTTAAGTTAAGAATCATATTAAAAAAAAAACACCCAGTGCACTTTTCCAAAAGCCATTATAAAATTAAGTATTTGATATATAACTAGTTCAGAGTTTAAGTTAGGTTGGGCTTTTTGGTTTTTCACTTAGTTTTTTATTCGCTTTATTTTACGTTTTCATTTTTTTTTTAATACAAAAGTCGCATGGTTTTTATTTACACCCGCTCGAAAATGGGCTACAAAAGTTGTGTTTTATGTCGAATTGCGCTTAAAATTGAATGCACAACGATTTCGTTTGTTGTCGCTTCGTTTTCGCATTTGTATCTCGAATTGAGCATACTTTTACGATGCTAATTACATATTAGATAGCAGCACGAAAATACTTTATTATTTATTTAATAAAAATAAAATATTCTCTTAAATATGTGATTGTGTGTAAACGGAATGGAGAATTGCTTTTCGCTGTTGTGATGTATGCATATATTGAGAATATATAATATATATGTATTAGTTAATTAACTTCTAAAATTATTTAAAAATATACAGAGAGAGAGGGAGAGAGAAAAAAGTAACGGACGGGTTTTTCAAGAAAAATTGTGTCGCGATCTGGGTTTGTTCTGGGCCCAATTAAAGATGATTAATTTGTGAGTGAAACTTATACTTAACTTACCATAAGGTTGGACGTTTTATAGCTTGGATAAAAGGTATTCGCAGGAAGGTTTGAACTTTAAACATAGCAGCAAGAACAGAAATTAAAGTAAGAGAGCTTTGCGACAGATCAAGGTCAACTACAGCTGTTCTCTAATTATGTGTAGCTATATATACTTTCAGATATATATTCGTAAATGTGATTGATTGATGGATTAGATATGGAGCGTCGAGGTGGGTCTGGATTTGGCTGGATTGGCTTATCTGGTGTAGAGCAGCGCCAGCAGTATGCCCAGCAGAGCCAAGGAGGATGCCGAGGTGGCCATGTGCTCGGCGCCGCCATAGTACGCCTGACCGCAGGCTGGCGGGCAGACGGGTATGATCGTCTCGAAGAGATTGACACGCGCCTCGGCATCACCAAAACGATTCGTTGCCTTGCACACATAGTCGCCATACTGGCGCTTCTCGATCGTGATGACGCGCAGCGTCGAATCGGTGTACTCATCGGCGGTGGCAAAGTGCGAGACGGTATAATGCTGATTGTTGGCCAGCTGTATGTCATCCTTGGTCCAAACGATTGCTGGCGGCGGGTACGCCTCAATGTGGCACTCCAGATCCATGTCGTATTGCAGCGCCTGACCCAAGCGTGGTCGCGGCACCGTTATAACCGGCGCAAATTCCACCTCGACATTGATGTTGCGACGATCTCCCTTGCTGACGCCGTTGTCGGCCACACAGTAGTAGGTGCCGCGATCCTCCTTCTTCACCGACTTGATGCGCAGTATGTTGCCCACATAAGTGGCGCTATCTGGAAGGGGAGAGAGAAGAGAGAGATAGTCATTAGCAAAGGGTGTTCAAGTGCGTCCGGCTATCAATGGAGTTAAATGTTCAAATCTGGCGGCTTTTGTGTTTGTGCACTCGGTAAAATCTGATTTTAATGAGGCGCCGCAAATGACGGGTGACCTTTTGATACCCCGCAAACATGGCAAATGGGTAAGAAGGGGTATGATGATTTGTAGTCAATGCATGTAACAGGCAGAAGAAGGCATCTATAAACATACATATATATGTATATTCTTGATCAGCATCAATAGTCGAGTCGAACTATCTGTTCGTCTCGGAAATTTAGAATGGGCATAGCTCAATGACTATGAGAGCTAAGGACACCATATAGGGTATAGAGAGTCTGCCATAGAACCACTTTTGTATAACATTTGAAGATCTTGGCTCTTGGCATTTATACACATTTGGATGCCATATTTAACACCCTGAAAAGATCGAATCGCTGCTCGGCACATGTCTAAGGGTATCTCCTAGTCGAACACTCTTACTCGCATTTGAATTCCCGTGTCGAGTGTCTGTATAACAATGGCCACGTTAATGACCTTTAACAAGCAGCAAACCATTTAGACATGCGGCAACGTTTTTTTTTTTGCAAACTAATTTTTGAAAAGCGCGCCCTCACACAATTGCTAGCGGGAGCACAGCCTAGGTACAAGGGGGAGCTAGCTGGGCGGGGGCGGGGTTTAGTGCATCAAACAACTGAAGCGTAAACATGAATGGGAATCCGAATGTGAGTGCAAAAGCTGCGACAGCAACTGCAATTGCAGCAGCAGCAGCATTCGGTTCAGTTCATAACCGGAAGTTGAAACGAGGGCAATGCGCCCTGTCGATTACCTGTGCTCCCCCCCTTCCCATTCCCGTCCCTGCCCGGGCGCCAGGTGTATAGGTAGTGAGGTTAGAGTTGAGCGCGTGTCGTGTTTGCTTTTGTGTCGTGTCGTGTTTTTGTCGTCTCGTGTTTGTCTCGTGTTCGTCTCGTGTTCATTTCATCTCGTGTCTATTAGAGTCGAAATAAATGCAACACGCGCTCATCTCTAGCTCGACAGCATTTGCGGCACTACGAACATTTGGCAATTTAGGCAAAAGTCTCGTGTTGTGTCGTGTTCTTGTCGTGCTCGCCTCGTGTTCATTTCGTCTCGTGTATATTAGAGTCGAAATAAATGCAACACGCGCTCGTCTCTAGCTCGACAGCATTTGCGGCACAACGAACATTTGGCAATTTAGGCAAAAGTCTCGTGTTGTGTCGTGTTCTTATCGGGTTTGTCTCGTGTCGTGTCGACTTATCGCGCTCATCTCTAGCTCGAGCGCATTTGCGGCTCTTCAAACATTTGGAAATTGAAGCTCGAAACAATTGACGAAGCAAACACAAACTATCAAAAGCTGAGCACGAGGAGCGTTGACCGTGTGCAGCACGGAATGCTCGGAAATATTGCTTTTTGGAACCTATGCAAAATGCATGCGGGCAAAGGGGAGAGAGGCGATAGAATGTGGGTTGAGGGATGTGAATTGTGTATATATATATACATGTACATAGGCGTTTGCTCATTCGGTTGAAACATTTCAAATTAATTGCGCTAGGGAGTCGAAGTAAAATGCATTTGATTCAAATTGAATCGACAGAGGAGGAGGCAGAGAGGGGGTGAAAGGGGCTTGAGAGCAACGCCTGGCGACAATTGAATTGCATACATCAGCTGAAATACCTAAGATGCACTCTGGATGCGGGAAAATGGAATACAGAAATTCATTTCAATATTGCGACAAGTCATCGGAGACCAAAGAAATCCAACTGAAGCTGGGCTTTTGTTTAATTAGCCCGAAACGAATTACGTTTGTGGAACGTGCACAGTTGGTCAACTAAGTGTCAGAATTTAATTGCTCACTGCTGCACTAGCAGATACCCTGTAATGCTAACAGAGGCTGGCCTTAGAGTAGACTTCATTGAATTGATCATCTACCCCTGATTGAAAAATCTAACCACAGCCCAAGCCGTAAGAGCTGGGTAGTCAGACGGGGCTTTGGCAAATTCCACCCGCAAGCGTGGAAAAGGCGTGGAAATGGTTCATTTAAAGCAGCTGAGCCTAATTTGAGCAATGTTTACAGCAAATACTCCTGATTGACTGATTGATGATCTACTATCGATAATCTACCCCTGATTAATTATCACAGAGACGGAGCTTTGGCAAATTCCACCCGCAAGCGTGGAAAAGGCGTGGAAATGGTTTATTCAAAGCAAAAATAATTTGAGCAATGTTTACAGCAAATACTCCTGGTTGACTGATTGATGATCTACTATTGATAATCTACCCCTGATTAATTATCACAAAGACATGGCTTTGGCAAATTCCACCCGCAAATGTGGAAAATAGATGGAAAACTCTGCATTCTATACTTACTTACTTATGTTTACGGGTATACTCTTCTTCACATTGACACATTGAATAGGGTATACAAATGCAGTTCCCATAACTGCACATACTTAAAAGGTTTAAAGTTTCCGCCTCTTGTCTATAGTATACATCTCTATCAGTTTATCAAGCACATTTCTCAGCAATTACAGGGTATCCGCACAAATTGTGAGTTTTGTTTTGGGGAACGTGTCACTAGAAGCGTACCAAGTGCAACAGCTCGTGACAGATCGTGTCTCCGGCTCAGGTTGAGCTGCACACGCAGTCGCCATAACAAATGTGCCCCTTTCCCCTTTCCCCATTCCCGATTCCCGTTGCCCATTTCTACATTTCTCCATGATGACAAATTCAGCCAGAGTCGAGCATTAAATGTTTTGTTAGCTGTTGCATGAAATGAGATGCAGGTCAGGTCGAACACGACACAATTTTTTAGCCCGTTAGCTAAGTGAGAAATTGCTAAAAAAAAAACGCCAGGAAACAAACAAATTTCATTTCGCAGAGGTCGCGCATGCGCTTAATTGGGGCGTGGCATACGGGCAAAAAGAAATAATATTTAATTACCTATTAAGTATGCAAGACGATTCTCAAGTCGCAGCTTTCTTTTGTCTCAAGAGACAGAGAGAGAGAGAGAGAGACGTCTTCAACTCAGTTTTGTGGGCATGTTTGTAATTAAAGTCAAGAATTACAATATATGCACATGATGTGACTCTTTCAGACATTTTGGGTTAAATTTATTAAGCCTCGGCTAACTGAACCCGAAAAACTCGACTCAAATGCGATCCTGTGGCACGAACATGATCTATGAAAGGGGACGCCGTTTGTTGTGCATGTTGTGAAGTGGCGTTAATTAGGGTTAATTCAGTCTCGGATCGTATATCAATCCCAAATGCAGGATAAACAATGCTGAGAAATTACACAATTTCAGCTCATATATCATTCCGAAACAAGGCGCAATAGCTGAACAGCATCACGTTTGCCTTTCGATAATCGACTATTGTAATTACACTTGCAGCTGACATAACATTGGCCTAACGAGACTAAAGAAAGAAGCACAACTAATTAGCTCGATTGCCCTCTTTTCACTTATCTTCTCTTTTTTTTCTATGCTTTCCTTTTCTCTTTTCTTTTCTTTGCCTCTTCCTTTCTGTTCTTTTCTTTTAATCTCTTATTTA